TGGCGGCGGCGCGCCCCGCCCGGGGTTGGGGATGCGCGGCAGAGGGGCGTGCTGAGAATGGCGAATAGCGGGAGCGACGGAGGAGGGGACCCGCGCCTCTAGCGGGACCTCGACCTCCCCTTCCGGGGCCAGAGGATGTTCTTCCAAACCGGGAGGAGAACNGCCAACCCTCCGACTCCAAGGACATTTCTGTATTTCTCCGCTCACCCCCACCGATGACATTAGGGGGCACCAGCCTGAGGACCTAAATGTACCTAGAATCCTCCCTTCTTATTAGTGTTCTTCAGCCCTCGAAGGGGTTCCTTGGGCCCCGTGACCCGCCAAAGCCATCAGTCATGAGTCTGAGAATGCCTGAGGCCATCCCTGGCCAACTTTTTAGTTTACAGAGAAGAGGGGGGTGGGGGGGTGCCCGAGGTCCCACAGCACAGTAGTCTGTACAGCAAGGCCTGTGGACGTGAGGCCCAGAGCCCTTTCCGCCAAGACACACCTTCTCTGTAAAGGGAGGGTAATAAGGGCGGTGAGATAATGGAAGCAAAAGTGCTTTGTAAACTGTAAAGCTCTGGAGAAAGTAAGGGGTCTTTATTTATAGCTGACAGTGCAAGACAATAGCTGCCCAGGGCCAGTCTACTGGTGCAGCCTGAGAGCTGGAGAAGTCAGTTTTAGAAGCCACCACTCAGTAATAGAAGAATTAAGAAAATAAAAGAAACAAAATCTCTGACATTTTTTGCAGATGTTATTATTTATATAGAAAATCCAAGAGATTCTACAGGCATGTTATTGAGCAAGAGAGATCAGCAAGGTTGCTGGACAAAAATTAACATTCCAATACAAATAAAGTACAAAATTCAACAGTGATTCCGTAATGAGCAATAATTTACCTGAAACTATATCTTTTTAAAAAGAAATCATTCACAATAAAATTAAAATTGTACAAAACCCAGAAAAAATGTAGAAAAGACATTTAAAGATATTTGTGAAGAAAAACTATAGGCTATAAAAGGAATAAATTGAGAGATGGAGAGATGTCATGAAGACAATTTCTCCATATTAACCTATCGATTTAATGCAAGTCTACTAAATATTCCAAGAGGATTTTTCAGAGAGCAAGGCAAACTGATTCTAAAATTCATATGAAAGAGCAAATATCAGGAAGAGACTAGACAATTTTGAAAAAGAGTAAGTCCCTAGCAGATACCGAGCGATGGTAATTAAAACAATGTGGTATCAGCACAGGGCTAGACAAAGAGATCAATAGAATAGAGTCACAGAAACAGTTCCAAGTGTGTGTGGGAATTTGATTTATGGTGGCAGTGGCAATGCAATTCAGTGAGAGAGAATAAGCTATTCGATAAAAAAGTGTTGTGACATTTGGCTTTTCATATGAAAAATCTTCACACCATCCATAAAGATTAATTCCAGATGGATTAAAGACCTAAAAGTGAAAAATAAAACTTTAAAATAATTAGAAGAAAATGTAGGAGATCTCAGGGTAGGAAAAGATTTCTTAGACAAGAAACACAACTCATAAGAGACTGATCAATTTATTTTACTACATTACCAACAAGACAAAAAAAAAAAGAAGAAAAGCTTTCTGCTATGAAAATGACATTATAAAGTTAAAAGACAGCGACTGTAGGTGGTAATGTTAGCAGCACATAGTATCCAGGATATAAAGTCCTCCTACCAATCAATAAAGAAAGCAGGCCTTTTCGAGTGCCACCCCACTGGCTTTCTCCCCTCTTCCTTGCTAATAAAACCGTATTGTGATTCAGGAATCAGGGGTCTGGGCTTTGCGGGGGGCTGGGCCTGCCCCATCAGGTAGACAGTGATTGGTCTAAATAACATGATTTTTAAAAATAACATGAGAATTCCGTTCCTCTGAGCAATGATTGGCTTAGGTGTGGGCACGTATGCAATGCTGTCCACTGAGGCTGGAAGGGAGACCTCCTGCGGGGCCCCTGGGAAAGAGACACTAAGGAGGCATTCAGGTTCTTCTGCCTCTAAACGTTGTTGTCTTCACTTGACACTCAGAACCAAGACTGCCATCTTAGTATATTCTCTAAAGATGGTTCAGGCAAGTACAAGGGTGTTCACTGCAGCCCTGCTTATAATAGCGAAACGTAGAAATAACCCAAATCCTTGTCAGTAGAGGAAGTGACAATTATAAGTTGTGGTATATTCGCATGATGAAATAATACACGGAAGTTGAAATGAAGGAACCAGTCACATTGTATCAACGTGGCTTCACTGTGAAAAACATGTCCTGTGGGGGGGGGGAAGACATAAAAGTAGGCAAAAAGGCATAGTCTATATTGTTATTATTACCCTCACCCAAGGATATTTTTTTCCATTGCTTTACAGAGGAAGTGGAAGGGCGAGAGAAACATAGATATGAGAGCGACACATCCACAGGTTGCCTCCCACGTGGTGGGTCAAGCCTGCAACCAAGGTTCATGCCCTTGACCGGAATCAAGCCCAAGACCCTTCAGTCCACAGGCCAACACTCTAACCACTGAGCCAAGTTGGACAGGGCAAGTAGACATAGTCTATAAAGCCACATGAAGTTAACTGGCCCTTGAGGGTAAGTTATTAGCAGAATTTAAATTCTGATTCTAGCCATTTGGACTGCAAAGTAACGATGAGATTAAAGGAATACATAATTAGAGTACTTTGGGATTGAAGGCTTTTTCTTTTTTAATAGAAATTTTCATAAATATTAGCCATGCTTTAGATACTGGGTAAGAAATACTACGTTTCCCCTGAAGATATCACCTACTGGAGTGTGGACCCTACTGGAGTGTGGACGTGTGGGGAGGGGGTGGGGAACTCATTCACAACGTAATCTAAAGGAGATAAACATCTGTGGGGATAAGTATCCAGTGATGATTATATGCAGGAAAACAAGCCATTTTTGGCCTCTATCCCAGTGAACTTGAGGTACTCATGACGAAGCACTTGAAGCACTCGATTGCACTATGACCTCCTTGAGTGACCTGGGCGGTTCCTCTCTCACTATTTGTTTCTGTTTAATATGCAAATGTAGTGTGAGATGTTCAGTGTGTTTGCATACGCTGACTTAAAGTGAATTTAAGTACAGTTTTCTGAAATATTTCTATTGAAATAAATTACTCAAAAATAAAAAATAATAGACAAATGATACACAGTGTGATGGTTGTTATACACATTTTAATAATACAGAAAACATTATATTGCTTTATGGATATTTAAATGTGTAGGGGAAACATGAAATTATGGCTAGACTTAAGAAGGAAGGAAATTCTGACACGTGCTACAATATGAATGAACCTTGAAGACATTATGCTAAGTGAAATAAGCCAGATACAAAAGGTCAAATACTGTGTGATTTCATTTATATGGGGTACTGAAAGTAGTCAAATTCATAGAGACAGGAAGTAAAATGGAGGTTGCCAGGGGCTGGGGGATGGGCACATGGGGAGTTATTATTTAATGGGTACAGAGTTTCATTTGGGAAGATGAAGAAAGTTCTGGAGATGGAGGGTAGTAATAGCTGGGCAACAGTATAAATGTACTTAATGCCAATGAACTATACACTTTAAGTGGTGAAAATAGTAAATGTTATGTATATTTTACAAATAATAATAATAATTTTGAAAGTATGGGCTCCAAAGGATGCATTCCCAATTTGTGAGAGTGGGTAGGTGGGCAGCAGGACTGGGGGGGGCTCACTCAACATCTCATATTCTAGTTCTTTTATATGATAGGACCTGAAGGAAAATGACACAATGCTAGATTTGTAACTTCGGTTTGTTAGATGATTCCTGAACTTTTCTTATTTCTTTTTTTTTTTTTTAATCTTCACCCAAGGATATTTTTCCATTGCTTTTCAGAGTGTAAGGGGCA